TATACATATATATGTATATATGTCAGGATGTGGAGAGGAAAATGTTGATGCTTTTTCCTAAACAGTGAATGTTTAAATGTGAGGGTGGGGTCAACCTGTAATTGCGTGCTGCGAGAATGCTTCTACGTAGGTCAGGTAGTTGTGCGGACAATGTTTCTTCAGCCATTTACAGACGTCCTGCTGTGACCACAGCACGACGGGGCGGATCAAACTGGGCTGCGTCGGGCTTGTGTGATATATACCGTAATTATCACTGGAGCGGTACTGCAGAATAAAGACAACAAGGAAAACTTTTAGGACAAAAAACAATTATAAAAGGTAAATTAAAGCAACTGCTACATGTTTTGCTTTGGTCTTTCGCTTTGTTAAAAAAAACATTGCAGTTTCCCTGAGCTCCAGACTTTAACTGCAGTTTAACTATAGCTGCCAGAAATATAATGCATGTTATTTGCATTAAAAAATGCCCACTGACTGAAAAAGGAGTCCTAGATAAAGTAAGAACTTTCCTATTCAGGTTTCCACAAAATAAACTTTTTTGTTAAAGGAAAAAAAGCTAATTCTTTTCAGTGTATATTTTGGTCAATGAAATCATGAGAGGTAGAAATTGAGTCAATCAGCTTGGATCAGTAAATACAATGACAGATTTCTTTTTTGTAAGCAATAAAAAACCGAAGGGTTACTTTTCATTAGTAAATTCTTGCTGTATTTAAAAAAAAAAAAAATGACTTAATTTAGTAAATTCTTCTAAAACAGAAAAGTGTGGCTATTAAAGACATTTTCTCTGTGTTGTAGCCAACAGCTTTCATTGTAAATATATTTTATGTGTATTTTTGGCCTCTATCTGAGTAAACCTCCTGTTGCAGCAGGACTAATACGTATCTTTCGCTAATTGCAGTCAGGTCACACAGAATTAGTGCAGTGACTGTAAAGTGTGCACACGCCGCCCTTTGAGCATCTCTAGCTTTCGCTTTGAAACAGAGTTGAACTCTAATGACCTTTTATAGCAGATTTGCATTAGTAATTCCTAAAAAAGTGAAATAGGACCATTCCAGTCTTTTTTGGTCTTCTTAATAAAACATTTCCTGTGTGTTTTATTACCCAACATATTGCTGCTGCCATGCCCTTAAGTATACAGTATATGATGCAAGAACTTAATTAGCAAAAGTCAATATAAAGGGAAAAACAACAAACTATATTTAAACGAAACTCAAGACAATAGTTTTGTTATGCCCTATATTTTTCACCAGGGAAATGTGCCTGCAGAGGCTTGCTTCCAAAAAATAAAACAAAAGCAAAACTGATGATCAGACTTTTTTTTTTTTTATCCCCAAACAACTTCTAAAATATGTTTGAGTGAGTTTGCACTCAAACTTATTTTACCAGCTAAGTCTGGTAGCTTCAAAGATGTACTGGGTGTAAAACTGAAGAACACAACTCTGTTTTAAAGGTTTTAAATGTCAGCTTTTCTCCAACTCTGATTTTCTGATGCCTGATACAAAGATCATACCTACTATTTATGTTGCATAAAACTACACTGCAGGGGATTTTCTCTATATTCTCTATATGACCTCCATGGAAAAAAAAAACTTCTGTTAAATAATACAATAACTAACATAGATAAACTATTGGAACAGATGCAAGTGGGGGGAAAAAACAAGTTTTACAGGAAGGTTACTCCACTGTATGTTAATTTAAGTGCAATTAGAGGGAGGGGGGGGTATAAAAAATAAGTTTTACTTCTTCATACACATTTTCAGAAAATTTACATTAATCAATGTTACTTCTCTGGCTGTATATACTGACAGGTTTATTTGGTGGAGGGTTTTGTTTCTATTAATGTTCAGGTGAATTTAGTTAGTTTGGAGTTTTTTTTTGAGGGGGGGGGAGTATTCGGTTGATTCATTTATTGTTGTTTGTGAAATTGTCTGTCTGAAATTGTCTGAAATAAATTCCTATTCATTTATTCATTCATTCATTCAAGTGTGAATACTCTTGTTATGTTTGTTTTGTAATTCAACCTGCTGCTTTATCTAATTCGCTGGAACATTACGGTTCATTTTCCATTCATAGGGCTGGTATTGTTAGCACTGATCCCAAACTGGCTTGCTTTTAACTGACTTTTAGTCCATTTAGTTAATATTTGTATAAATTTCTTTTCTTCATAATCTATTATTAAGGAACTCAAACCAAGATTATTTTCAGTTAATTTGTTAGTTATCAGAAGCAGCTTTTGCAGAAATCAGGAGGTACTGAAGAGATAAAATTGAGAAAGTTGCTTAATAGTAAATTAAATAAACAACATAATTTTTTTCTCCTTTTATTGAAGAAAACAGAGTCGCTGTTTTCCCTTTGTCCCCATTTTTTTGTAGTCTATATCCCTGTTTGGGTTAACTAATTCTTTTAAAATGTAACAGACGTTGACCTATTTGCTTTTACTACAGTAGAGTCATTTTTTTTCTATAAAGCAAAAATCGAGCAGAACTCATAATTTTCCTGAAACCATTGTTTATTTAAGAAGATATAAGATGTCCCCCTTATGGGTACAAACTGAAGCATGCTCAGCAGAACGATTAAAAAACAATTTAAAAACAACTAAAATGTCAAAGGTTTAATATGTGCTGTAGTTTAGACCGAAGACCGTGATCCTTGTATACAAGACCTTAACTGCAAAACTGAGCATGTAAAGCAGCAAAATAACTAATCTGAATTAAAGTAATCTTGTGTAACTAAAATAATTGCATTATTTTGTGTGAACATACAGGTTTCAAATTAAAGGATCGGCCTTTATAGACCTAAAACTACAGTATTTGGTCTTTTCATCCTAAATATCTACAGACTTTTTTGGATCACATCCATCTGTTAATATAAAAATGCGTTTTTTTAGGTTTGTGAAACAGAGCTCACATGATATTTCTAAGATTTAATCTAATTTCATCAAAACAGAGCTTCAGTTTTCTCTGAGCCACATGATACATAGCTATTAGCTCTGTTAGCATCCATGCAGCTACGACAACACAGATCCTAACATTACGATATAACCTTTCTCAATAAATCAGGATTATTTTTTTTTATTGGAGCAGAGTATTTACAAGCAACAGAACAGCTAAGCTGTACTTTGAAATCATGAAACCCATCGAAAATAATTTATTTAAATGTTTTTCTCCTGCATAAGAGCTGTTTTCTTTGTGTGTGTTTGAGGAATGTTGTAACACGGCATGCATTTGGAATAATGTAAAAGATCCCCTCAGGCTGCTCTCTGGTGCAGCAAGGTTCAGAAATATATGCATGTTAGGTTAAATGGCCACTCTACTGTAGACTGCCCTTAGGGGTTAGTGGGCCTGGGCACAGTGGTTTGTCCTGTCTCTGTTGTTCTGTGACGGACTGGCAGCCTGTTCAGGGCGTACCCAACTACTCGATCAATGAATGCCGGAGATGCGCACCAACCCCCATCACTGGGAAAAAAAACTAATAGATAAAAAAGATTGATAGACATTTTATTTTTCACTCCTGATGGAAGGAGCTCCAGTGTGAAGAGTATTTGGGGATGTTTTTTTCCGTGTTTCTTTTGCCCAAATAAAACATGTAAGTTTGTTCCATACTTTAAATCACCATAAGCATTTCTGTTAATATAACTGCATCATTTATGATGACTGCAAAGTGATATTTTGTTAAACTTTTACTTTTACTGTATAGACTATTCTTTTTTATCTTTGTGTGAACCAACATGCTTCAATTTGCCTGTGACTTTGCTGCTGATACACTTGAATTTCCACACAAAGGGACATGGAAATTTCTATTCTATTCTATCTAGCCTCAAACAAATAAATATATTTGTTATAAATCAAAGGTTTTATTTTTTGGAAGTAACAGGCAGTGCTCCTGTCTACAGAGGTTTAGCTCATCCAAAAAGAAAAGCCCTGGATTTACCAGTCTGTCTACGTACCTCTGATCCTGAGATATAGATCAGACTGAAGGTACAAGATTCTAAGCACATGTGGCTTAAATGTTCTTCCTCTGCAACGTGGCTGAACTCCAACATAATTCTTTAAGAATGCAGTCAGGTACAACAGAGCCCTGTTAATGTCCTGATTATTGGGTTCCAGAACAACTCTCTAACAAGCTTCCATGGTTTTTGAAAGAGGAAAAATCCCACAGCATCACAGTTCCTCCACCATACTTATCAATGGGAAAGTGGTGTTTTTGCATAAACAGTAGTTTTGATAATTTGTTTTAGGTTGAACACCCGCAGAGTTTCTTGCGGTTCAAAAGCACCGTATACATGATTTTAAACCATCCCATTATGTGCTTTAGGGATTTTTTCAAAAAATCTATTTGTTAGTAAGTTTAGTTTTAGTTAATGTCTACTAACTAAATATAAGAACCTGATAATTGATGGACAGACATTGACATCCTTATCAATTAGGATAAAATTGAAGGTAAAACCTTTTGTTGCTTTGAGTTTGAAGAGAAGCAACAAAAGACAAACTGCTGCATGCAGGATGAGTTAATGAAAGTAGTCTAGAAGCAGCAGCAGCGCTGTGCCCAGAGCAGCGCAACCACACAGCAACGAGTAAGTTAACGTTCCCGAAGACAAAAATAAAGCAGCCAATGCATTGTGTGTTGCAAAAGAGAGGAGACAAACAAAGCAATGCATACAACTCTGTTATCAGCCCAGCCCAGTTCTGTTTGCAGCTTTAGCTTCAGCTCCTAAAGGCCTTTTAAGCAGCCTTTCATGAGCTGAAAACAAAGCCATGGGCTCTCTGACTTGTAACCAAGGGCTTAAAATGAGTCCAGTTCACTGCATAAATGGACCGTCTCTGCTGACAACACTGACCGTGTGAGGAGACAAAGCTGCATCAGATAACAAGGAACTTTAATTTAAGCTGGAGCTGCTGGACACGGTTGTGATGAAGCTTCACAAAGAAGCATGATGGAAAGGAGGCTGACCGCTAATGGCTGACTGGTTATTATCTGGCACAGAGAAACACACTGATTTCTGTTTCTTTCTCCTCTCAATAAACACACACAGTGGTGCAGCGGCAAAGTGTGAGTGCTGGAAGACCTGTACTATTTAAAGCAGAGCTAAAATGCTGTAAGAGCCCACTATCCCACTGGGGAGAGAACAGCTTCCATTCTCTGTTAACAAAGTGCCCATTAGTCAAAAAGCAGGATGACCAGCTGCATTGGTTAGACTTTTTTTTTATTCTAGTCATACTTTTCTGTGCAAAGAAAGTGTGGCTGAGCACCAGGGAGGACGGTTTTAC